CCAAGGCAAAATTTGTCTCAAGGGTATAAGGTTTCAAGTTATTCCTTTTTCCAGATTCTTATTTGTTTCTATTTTGTTGGTTATGCTTAATTTTTTTTTAGCTTTGAGTTGTGTTTGAGGGAAAACTATGCCCCCTTTGGTACAGTCATGTTGGCTAATAAAAGGCAGTCCTTGGAGAGAAAGAAGCAAACAAACAAAAAGATGAGACTTAATAGCAAATGGGTTTTGAATTAGAACACTGGAAGAAAATAGTAATCATTTTAACAGGTACTAAGTTCAAGGATCTGTGCTCAAACATGTATTTTTAGCTGTCTTCGTCATCAAATGGGCAGCCGTCATGAAACAATTTGCTGAGGCTGTGATATGATCCTTGGGTCACAGGACTTCTGAAAAGTTGCCCCTTAGTCTACATTTTGCCCAACATCTTTCCAGCTCTAATAACATCTAACTTTATTTTAAAAAACAAGAACAAAAAAACAGGGAAATTTTGAGTTTCTAGAGAGTAGGAGCTATCACTTTATATTTCCCAGAGCCGAGGAAGAAGTTTCAACATATTTCATTTTAATTCATTTCAATATATTAAATAATTACTAAAATAGCAAACTTACATAAGAAGAATGATGAAAACATTGTAGAAAAATTATCTTTATTTATTTGATATGGCTTTGTATCTATCAAAAAAAAGAATTGGAAGAATTCTCCAGATTATTTAAATAATCCTCAGATAATCTTCAGAATTGTGGACGGAATTTGAGGCAATGGTGTAGAAATTCTTCTGAGATTTAAGCTGATCTACAATCTGTACAAGCCTGAGAGGTTTAACTATATTCATGCTATTTCCACATTAAGTCATGGCAACAAATCAACACTAATAATAATAACACTGCTTCCTAGAACTCTCCAGAGAGTCCATTGCAGTTTTGTTGGAAGGGATCATTTTTAAAGTCATAACCCACGAGAAGTTCCAGACAAGTCCACACACCTTTGCCATTGTTGGCAAAGTACGGTTGGGTCTTTCATCTAAGACCGAGTATGGACTGGCACATGATCTTTCCACCTAGTCCCACAAGCTGAGTGCTTCCTTTCATTCCACATTTGTTTAAATGGCATAAAATTTCTCACACAAGTGGAATAGATTCTAAGATTTGGACAAATATGAATAATATCTCTGTGTGTGTGTTTTTGTGTTTTTTAAATTTATCTTTATTGTTGAAAGAATTACAGATGCTCCCTTTTTTCCCCCATTGACCCCATTTACCTCGCACCCCTCCCTCCCCACCCCAGGCCTTCACCACACTATTGTCTGGGTCCATGGGTTATGCATATATGCATATCAATTATTTGGTTAATCCCTCCCTACCCACTCCCCCACCCCCGCCTTCCCTCTGAG